GCGATGAACGAGCAACTTTGGGCCAAGACACGCATCGGTGCTGAGGTTTGGATGCGCAGGGAACAGTCGTCATTGATCATCGCACGAATCATGCAACGATTTTACAAGCATGCAGGGCCGTTTCCAGAACATGTTGGCAATTTCCAGCAGTGCACACACACAATCCAGGCATTGTCTCGTGGATTGCAACAACAACCCTGCAACCGGAATGCATCGGCGGCCTGGGTTTCTTGCCTCGGCGGCACAACGGTCTTCAACAAACTCGTCTTGCACAAGCTGTGCTGCAAGGGTCATGCAGCACTGACTTTTTGCCTCAACAACTTTTTGCAACATCAGCCGTATCCACGGCGTAAAGTTCACAATCTCCCAGCAGGCCTCAGCACGACAATATAAGGAGACCTGCTCTGCTGAGGCTTGCGAGAGACAGGCTACACCCAGTGTCCATATCTGTGCGACTTGTGGCAGATTGCAGGATGAATGCCCGAACTACTGTATCACACATTTACAGACCGTACTTGGCCTTGCAAACCTCACCAACCCCGAGTCGATTCTCGCCTCGCTCAAGCTCTCTCAGTGGAGCGTGATGCTCGAAATCGTCCCACCCGCGGTTAGATGGGACGGACTCAACGAAAGGCATCTGCAGACACGGCTCGTGCAGAGTGCTCGAACTGCAGACTTTTAACCTGAGGCGGGTGCATGTGGACTTTGTCGTGTTCTGAGTCTCTCCATGGTGCCTAAGGCCAAAGGGCCAACCTTTATAGCACTTTATGGATCTTTATAGATGCGCTGAATCCGAGGCAAGCCTCTCAGACCGACAGAACACATGCAACGAACAAAAGACCTGGTGACGCAGAGAACGTCTCCGTGTATTACCAAGGCGCGCAAGCATCGATAGTCTCGCAGTACGTGATCGAATTCGCTGGCAACTGTTGCAACCTCATCTCCTGGCAAGAAGTATCGACCAGATGCTTGGTCTTACTTCACTATGACTGCGTTGTTGGGATTCTACGAAGGAAATCTGTCGGGTGCTTGCAAAGGACAGCATATGCGAGAACAGCTCTGTTTCATGCCGGCAAATGTCCTCGAAGAGGCACAGCGCTTGCTGCCAGTGTGCGTCATCTTCACAGGCCCTGATGGCAGCACTGAAAGAAATCCTCGGATTCAGTGGTAATGTGCCTCCGATTGCTTCACGGCCAGCGTGGATGAAACCAGGCAACTTCTGATAATGAAGCGGGGCTTCACATCTGCTCGGTCTCCGCTTCGGCGAAGCTCGTCCAGAAGTCCCAGCGCACGCTGCCACTGCCTACCTCAAACACGACCCAAGCAAGCTGATTGCAGGATTGGGGGGGCTGCAGGGGAGCCAATTCTACAAAAACCCGGTGCCGTTTACCAAGCCAGCTGAGATGCCCTTCTCGCAGGCAGAAATGGCTGCATTGCATGTCAACACATTCAGCGGAATCCGGCGAGAGGAAAGGTCCTGCCAAGCGGCTGCTGATGTTCAGCATTTTTGTGGACTTCTACGCCATTCCCCGCATGAAGACGTTTGGCTTCAGATCCGAAGTTTTGGAGGATGCGTCATGTGCGGCATCATTGAGGAGACTTGAATGCCGTATGAGAACTTGGATGTCTGCTTGCACCCACACGTCCTCAAGCAAGCAAAGTGCAGCTTGCCATTGGCCACCTTGCACATGAACCATTTGATGTTCCTTTCAACCTATATTTTCACTACAGTAAGATACTTTGACCACCAATCAGTTGCACGGACATGCCACTCCCACAGAATCTGTCTCAAAAGTTCCCCAAAATAGCTGTCCCAAGGCATGTTGTCTACAAGTCCGCTGTTCTGTCATGTCTGGAAATCCTCAAAGTCTTAGATAGTTGGCAAACAAATGTAAATGAAGTGTGCGGAAGGCCAACACTAGTGTAGAGTTCGGGGTTCAGCGAGTGCAGAAGAGCAGCGTGTAACAGACCCCAAAATTGTTGGACGCTCTCGAGTGGAAAACCGTGGGCCGCATTCTGCGGTCATCGTGTGCTTCTGTCACATGTTCAGCGAATCAAGGCCGCTTGTTTGCGCCTTGATTCCCACTGATGTTCACAGTCCGCACTTGCTTCAGACTTTGCCCATACAGAGAAAAACATATTGCGTTCGGAATCCAGCGGGGAGAAGAAACTCGAAAGCAGTTGTTTTTGGTGCTTTCTCCCATACCTGCCCGGAAGGGGGTCGGGTTACCAAAAAAATGCCCAAAAAGTCTGCTTTTTGAGGGTCAGCCATCTTAGATTTCCCATTCTGGACTTTTGTGCGCACGCTGCTTCTCTGAAGACGAGATCTGAAGCAGGCAGCCACTAGGCCTATATAGACTCATTGCACGAACCCTGGAATGCCATGAACCCTGCAAGATGAAAGTGCTATGCTAGTTGCACGGAGGGCTTTGGCAAACGCCTGTTGTGATGGTGGTAGGGAAGCGATCGCACTCTTCAGCTCCTTCGGTGTTGGAATGACGGAAAGCTCCAGTGGCATGGCGAGTTCATCTTTGTTCAGCACAATGGCCGCATAGGTTGGATCGGACGATGTGGCGGAGGTAACTCTGCTAACCAACACCACCATAAGCTGAATTGCTGGCCCCCTCCTGTCTGCCATGGTTTTGACTTCGTTCGCGCATTTCCACGGGGAAAACCACTCTTGGTTTGAATCCGGCGGCAGGAGATGGAGAGGCTCAACAAAGTGTGCGTGCTTGATTCATCTTGCTACACTGACACTGTTAATGATCTGGCGGCTGTCCAACGTTGCACCATGAGCACTGCGCAAATCAATGTAGGGTCTAGCACGACATCAGCCTGTGAACATGCAGCACCACACCTTTCTCGCAAGCTGTCACGGTCGCGCCGAAGGTGACGATGTTGGGAAGCAGCTTGAGTTCTGACAGCTCGTCGAAGAGATGAAGGGCCTCGAATTCCAACATGCCTAAACAATGATACAGCATGATACAGCTCCAGTGCCCATCTTGTTTGACGGCCGCGGCAGGCAAAGATATGGTTGGAAGATGTATAGTAGGAAGACAACACAGTCTCGAGGCATGATAGCCTGGCTATGTACCGAAACTGGGCCGTGCAGAGTTCGAGTTTTTTCAATGGCCACTCGACAAAACTCCAGGACATAAGCGATCAGCGAGAGTATGCACCATGTAAACATGGCTGGTTTTGAGAAGAGTGTTGATCTTTCGCTGGCCCATGGACCGACCGACGAACAAGAAGGGAATTCAAGCTCTTGCCTGCTCCCATTGCGGATCCCAGTGCTCGCCATCGCTAAAGGCACTGATGACCTCGGCTTATGCAACAGCTGCCCTGTGCTGCCTGTGCTTGTAACAACCACATTCAACACGAACTGTGATGTTGGCACTTGACTCTCTGTTGACTGTTTTTGCAAGGCATCTGGCTTCTTGCTTTTGCATTCGGCCATTCTGCCTGGCGACCGCCGAGTAGGTGTAGATATCTGGCTGCAGAGAGCGCTGCGGCAGGAGGCCGAGAAAAGATAAGGATTGCTCCCACTGACCAGCTATGCCACAGGCGCTGACGGCTGCGTTGTACGCGACCTTACAAAAACAATCTCGCCATGGGGCATGATCAGTATCTCAAGATCGGTGGAGACACATGCTGTCAAGCCACGATGTTAGCTTCAAGCCTGGAGCTGGTTATATCTTCGAGAAGCTGCAAAGCAATCGTCCACTGTCCACCTCCAGCTTTGAGAGTAAGGTCTCGGCCTAACTTCACACCTGTGCCCTGCCTGCTTCGCAAGCAGAGATGGCAGCACTCATTGTTACAGTGCTGGCTTCCAACCTCTGTTCCTCTGGTGTAACATTACTCGGCGCTGGAACTCGCAGCTACGTCCGATAGAACGGCTACCGTGGCGCGACATGAGTCCTTCACATCTTGCAAGAAGTTCATCGCCCGCTGCCATTCCTGGCTTTGCCCACAAGCACCTGCCACCAGTGACTGTCCGAGGCCGAGAGAAAAGCTGCAAACACGGTGCTGGGGGGAGGATATGAGTAGTATGCAGGAGCAACGAAGCAGTAGTCCGGTGCTACTTCATTCAGCTAGCATCTGAGATTCCTGCTGATGACGGCGTTGCAGGTGATCGTGCTTGCCTGCGAACCGAGTTGAAATTGACACTTTAGAGACTTTGAGCATCTAGCCACCGCGTCTCAGCAGGCAATCTGCAACATCTGCTGAGTTCACGTGCGTCGAATGCTGCGAGCTGGGCAAGTCTAGCAAGCAATGCTCCTGCAAACGGCATTCCCGCAGGTCGGACAGTAGCCCAACAGCCAAACTCCATTTCCTTTGCGAGGCAAATGAAGGCTCCGAGTACACGAACTACGATTCAAGGCTTCTTGTGCCAAAGAACTCACATCTTCCACAAGCGCTGATTGCAGCATTGTAGGAGATCACCTCGGAAAGCGTATTCCGGACATTGTAGAAAGTCTGCGTGATAATGTTCAGCGGCAAAATCTACAAGGGAGTGGCATCCGCTCCAAACCCAGGGGCATCTGCTTCAAGTCGAGCCGTGTCCAGGCCAGCCAGGAGCGACAGGGCCTGCAATCGAACCGCTCAGCTCAGACACTCAAGAATCACGAACTTCAGGTGTGCATGTCCTCTCTGCCAACCCAAGCCGTCCCCACGCCTGAGTCCACTGCTCGCCCTTCTCACAGGCACTGATTGCAGCGTTTGTGATGATGACATCCTCGGATGTGGGCCACGCTGCCACGATTTGAGAGAGCAGGCTGCAGCAAGCTGGTCTACTATGTCATCTAAGCATAAGTGCTCCACTGTCTCCACTGTTTGTTGCATGATCCCTCACTCTTCCTTTCTTTGGAACTTGCATCTACCGTGAAACGAGCGAGCCCTCATTGACTCATGCATTTCCAAGACAGTCTAGCGGCAGCATCGATGCGGCTGCGAGTGAGGTCCCCGAGTAATTGCAAAGCGGTCTGCCAAGCCCCGCCTGCTCCAAGCGATCTCAGGAGCTGACATTGCTAACTCCGCTCTACAGGTGTTGGCTAATTAATCTCAGAGACAGCAACAGCGGCAGCATCCAGGCATCCAGCTCAATAGCAAAAGCGTCATCCGATGGCAACAGCACCAGTCCAGTCTTTCCACGCGGCGAATCTGCCCCGGCCCCAGCCCCTCATGTGAGCGCCTTTCTCACAGGCGCTGACGGCAGCGGAAACGAGAATGATGTTTGCATCCAGCCGGTCTTCCCCCAGACCGGCCAGAAGCTGCACGGCCTGGACCCACAACAACGCAGCAGAAGATGTTCTACCCGTACTGGCATAGTGGGGAAGTATGTTTTCTGCATTATACCTTCGCAGGTTGAACGCTCCCCCTGATCCTTCGTTGATCTTATCAAGACTCCTGCAAGAAAACATGTTGATCAACGTTGAAGCCCGGCCTGTTCCCAGCACCCGGCGTGAGAACAAGCACTGATTGCCGCGCTGACGAGAATGATATTTGAATCCAACCGGTCTTCCCGCAGATCGGCCAGCAGCTGCACAGCCTAGTGGCAAGCTCACAGTTGGTGACAGAGGTGGTACGAAATTTGACGCCCTGGCTATTCCCCTGTCAGGCTGGGGCCTGCTCCCAGCGCCCTGCATGAGCACAAGCGCTTATGGCTGCCCCGTGGACGAAACAGTTCCTCAGCGGGAAGCTGGAAGCACCCAGCAGTGTCTCACTTGCGTCTTCAGCACATTCAAGGATGACACGGCTGTCAAATTGACCTTCACAACATCCTGCCACTAGCCCAGGCACGGTTGCCAATTGCGAGCACGGGCTTCTTGCAGGAGATACCTCAGGCACACCATGGCACACCGGCCAATGAAGGACGGTCACAATTTATGAAACAACAAACAGCCGCCTGAGGAACACAACAACGGTCGTCCTGCACTCATCATCGTCTTGGATGACACTACTCATGTTCGTTCTTGGTTTGGTTTATCCATGTATGGTTTTCTAACCCCTCCCCTGCCAGTATCAACCAATTGCCAGCGCAGACAATGTCAGCTGAGATAGCGACAGTTTGTGGAGGTCAGCTGTGCCAACTCCACTCAGTCCAGTTCAATTGGTGTCACCACATGGTCTGCAAACTCAAACAACTTTCAGGTGCCCCTATTTCCACAAAAACTTACCACTGCAATTACTGATGGATCCTGTAACGAGTCTGTACTTATTTCATCTTTCCCATCTTCCTTTGATCATAATCGGTAGCGGAGTTGGTCTCTGGAGGGTGCAGTTTCAACATTGACGAGAATGTGGTCATAGCCACGGACATCCCATTTTCAAAGGCAATCTAGACCGCTCAGCTGAAGACTAACCACAGTAAGCTCCAGACACGGCTGATGTCCACTGCAGACTCCGGCCATAATGCTTAATGATGCGACTGAGCGCCTTGGTTGCCACAGAGACTTTCCAGCCAACACTTGTAGACTCCTGCGAAGACATCGCAAAGAAGCCATCCCAGTACAAGAACATGCCCTTAGAGAAGAATGAGACGCGCTTTGATGACGGAACTTGCATCTGTCTAGAGTCCGAGGGAAGCCACCCAGCGGCCATTCTCCTCTGCTCCCCAGAACCAGAATTCTGCATAAATCTTGCAAGAGCCGGCTGGTCGCCTGCTTGTCCTATTCAAGTGAGTTGAAGTGGAAGAGTATGTTCGTATAGGCTCAGATGCCAGAAGACTTTTCATTCGAGCTCCAGGATGCTCTTCAAGTCTCCCACTTCAGAGATGCATCAGTATGCACGTTCTGGATAAGCCTTGCATAGGTGACAACTATTGGAAGACTCGGGCTCTCCGAGCAAAGCTCGTAAAGCCAGAGGTCCTCACATCGAGCGCTCGGGAGCGGGCAAGATCCGTTTCAAGCCTCCTGCTTGCGATGAGTTCCGGATTCTAAATGTTGTGTTTGCTCAGAAAGGAACTATCAGCTTGAAAGGCATCCAGCCGGAGGCATAAGAAGCCAAGCTCTAGATGTGCCAGCAGGGTGGACCGTTTGACGGTGTGTTGCATCAGCCACCAGGCTCTATCATCAGGCCACTTGCGCAAACAAAATGCATGCCACTCCTGCTGGAAAGGTTCTGCGTCGTTCGTCGCACAGCAAAGCCAATAGGCCCCAGGCCATGATCCAACCATCCGGTATTGCATCAAGGAATCGAAAGCTGAATGCTTGATCCCAATCATTTACAGTCGTATGGCCTTTCGGCTGGCTCTGCACTGTGTTGATAAAAAGAGCTCATTGCGGTCTTGCCTGCTTAGCAGGCCGGAGCCGCACGGGAAAACAAGCCTAGCGTCAAGGGTACGCCTCGCAGCTTTGGCCAATCAATGATGTTCGTTTCATACACAGAGAACTCAGTATGCCTGGGCTAACGGCACAAGCAGCGCAAGCAGCATGGCAAAAGACAACAAGCGAATCCAATTCAAATCAATCCTGGTCACGCATGAGGCTCGCCAAGGGTTCACGTGTCGATTCCAAGCTTTTCGCAAACCTGCGTCATCAGTTTGACGAGCAGCGCCGTCTTGAGCCTGACCTGGGCGAGAGGTTAAGATCTCCCTATTCTGAATGTCGTGAACGCTTTCCAACATTTTCCAACCCAAGGGGCGGCAATGATGTCCGTTTTAGAAGCAGGACCACGGCACTTGAGCAATCCGTCTATCATCTCCTGCATCCGTCGACACATCTCAGTGAGCTACATCACCAGCACCGCTTAAGAAATCATTGGTTTGAGAAACTGAGCCCCTCGGACAGCCGTGCGACAAAAATATACATACATAAAATGCGCGCATTCAAAATAAGAAATCCAGGGTACCCTGGACTCGGCGTGCCAATTTCTTGCTTTGCTCTTTCTGATTTTGTTTTCGTTGGTCTTGTTCTCGCAAAAAAGTAAACCAAGAAACAAAGAGAGTAGATTTCGTATTCCCAAAGCTCGGCGCCAAACCCTGACAAAGGAAACCAAGAAATGAGAGCACAGGTGGATTCGAGCCCACAGGACTTTCCATTCCAGCTCATGTGCTGATCGACGCGGGCATGGCTGAAAAACCTACCAAAGATGTGAAATTGAGTGGCGACTTCTGTCTGAAGGCTGCCACGCCCGAGTGGATAAGCACATGAGCTGGGATAGGAGGTGCTGCGGGCTCGAACCCTCCCGTGTTCTCATTTCGTGAATTGGTTGTATTTGCTGCCGTTTCAGATTTCAGACATTTGGGTTAAGAAATCCACGATACCCTCAAATCCCGAAACGTTTTTTGTACTAACAAAAGGTGCGCTTCAAAAACAAGAAATCGAGGCTGTAGTCGGAATGAATACTACCTCGGGAAGCTGCCCGAATCCTGCACTCCGCTCTTTCGGAAAATTGAGTAGTGTATTGAAGTCTCCACATCCTCGACTGCTGTGATACTGCAGGATTGATATGAACTGGCTTTGATGGTTCGAGCAAAAGCATGTCTTCTTGAAACCACCCCCTACATCGAATAAATTTACAAGCTTTCAAGGGAGACGACGTCAGGTCAAGGCTGCACGAGGCTTGAACTCCGATAATTTGGTATAGCTGCAAGGCTCCTCAAACTCCAATTCTCCACTGAGGTCCGCATCCAGGACATCGAACAGGTCGGACTTGCATGATAAATCGATCCTCCCAATTCCAACTTGCCCGAACATGCTAGCTGCTAGCCGCTGCATACACGAGATTGCAGGGCCAAGCGCGGTGGACTCTGCCGTTCTGCAGCCGAGCCGCTCGGAGTCATCCAAGGTGGTGATGAGCTCCTTTTCACCTGAGAGCCAATGGTTGAACTCCTCGCGCGTCACCACCACATTGCCTGGCTCGAGTAAGTCGTTGTCATGGGGCATTCAAAAGTTCTTGGGTTCGGCACCGAGTTTCGTTTGCGGCCGAGTTGCGCCGCCCCATCTCCTTGCGGATCTCATTCGACAGCTGCTCGTACTCGTGAATAGTATGTGGCTTGTATCCATACCTCGTCTTCACATTGTCAACCCACTCAGTGCAAAGACTTGGATCAGTCTTTGAATGCATCGTATCATCGGCCTGACAATCTATTTTGGGGAGTTACATCTCTTGAAGCGCCGCCAGCTTCTCCTTGAGGATTTTCGATGGCCGGCGACCATGGGCATGATAGTCGCCATTCCAAGCCTGGAAAATCTAAGACAGCCACATCCCTGGGCCTGGGCAAGGCCAGCTCCATGCTACAGCTAACAAACAAACTTTGGCTGTTGAGTGTCTGTTGCTCAACATGGGATTGGCGAGTATTCATACCATCGCAACAACGGATTCGTATCCATCGAGAACAGCTTCATGTGACCGCTTCTGCCTTTCGGTGCACGTGCTGCAACTTTCAAGGCCTCCTCCTCAGCTTCCTTGTGCAGGATCTTGGTCAGAATGATGTTGCCTGCGCACGCTTTACTCGCAACTCTGGTTTCCTTTCAGGGCTTCGGAAGAATCCCTTCATATACCCACTGTGGCAACTTCGCCGCATGAGGACACTATAAAACCCCCAGGCGCTCTCTTCGTGCAGCTGAGCTTCGCAGAACCGAGGAAATTAGCCATTCTGTTTTCGGTGCATTCCTGCAAGGCTCCATCGCAACCCTCACAGGCGACTTCCGGAAACTATCATCGTGCTTGGGCCACGGAATACTACCGACTACAGCACAGGATTGAAAAAGCCTGTTCGTTTCAGATTTCGGATCAACTGCCACATGCTTGTGATGCGGTGCGCAGCTGCCAATACGAACTGGTGAACTCCACTTATATACATGAAAATTCAAGACTCCATGAAGCAAAGCTTCGCACCCAATTGTCGCTGCCGCTTCTTGGTACTGCCGTCCGTGACATTGTCGATAAACACAGCCTTCGCCAAGTCCGGAATCCAAACTGCGCTATGGATGACATAAACCAGACACTGAGCGTCACTCTGCCGTAGATTCAGGGTGCACATGTGCAGGCTGCAATGGAAGCGAAGGCCCCCGGAAGCGAAGGCCCCCGACAACACCCTCGGAACTCGAAACCATTACGAAGAAGCTTTAAGGGACGAGCGCATATCAAGAGCTTTGACTTCGACAGAGGGCCCCCAAAAACGGGAATCCTACCAGCCGCTCGTTCTGTCAGATCCAGCATGAACACCATTGCAAGTCGACACTCTGCAGACCCTGCAGTCGGAATTGAGAAAAGGACGTGCGCTCATCCGCAGCAGAGAGGCCATGATCAGGTTGAAGATCCCAATGGTGACGAAAAGGAAAAGAAGAATGTACACTATCATGATGACGCCACCAAGATCCTCCAAAGATAGCCGGAGCTTGCAAGCAGTAGACATGTTGCCAAAGTATAGCCTCAGCCTCAACCCAAAGCTATCATGGCTTCTTATACCGGTCCTTTTCTTCAGTACGAAGCCGCGCGATAAGCGGAGTTCCGTCGTAGGCTGTGCAGCCATCTGTGACACCTCAACAGGTCCGCGGGTACTCACGCTAATGTCCATGCTTGCCGTGATCAAAATGTAACCATAAACCGCACACTGCAAGAACGACTAACATCGCGACTCGAAATAAACTTAGAAGCACGCGCATTGCATACTGACAACAATTGACATCCAAGGGGTACCCGTGTGCATAAACCCGCAATCACCACGCAAGTTGTCGTACGTGATTCCAACCGTACAACATGTTGGCCACTTTGGCAATGATGTAATCCCCGTACAGAAACGACTGCCAAGCACAACAAATAAATCTCACCACCGTAAACACCATCGCTGGAAGAGCTCGAAGGGGGCTGGAAGGGCACCTTAATTACTCTTAGGCTCTTACAACTCGGAAAAGGCGCATGAGGTCGCACTTTTAAGTTTGGCCTGGGCGATATCTTAATCGAAGAACTTTTAAATATGAATTAAATCTTTGGCTCCCGCTTGGCTGATCCGAGGACCGCATTGCAGGTCACATGTGGGACTCGGGGCGGAAAGCATACTCAGCTACCACTTTCCTTGCACCGGATTACAGACAAACACGGAAACATATATACATATATATATATATATAAGTGTATGCAGTGTATATATACATATATATATAAGTTACATATATATATATATATATATATATATAGTCGCCGTTTGCTTGCAGGTGCCTTCCTGCAAGTGCATGAGCAGGCTCGTTAAGTCAAGCTCAGAAGCAGCGGAATGACGTGAACATCGCTGAAGGAACGTCGCGAAACTCTGGATGCTGCCCCAACAAGGTACGCGTGATCACCTTCAGTGACAGTGAACATATCCCAGGGCAGTATGCAAGACGACAAGAGTACAATGAGCATCCCTACTTTATGAAGAGGCGTTGATGCATGTCGGCAATGAAATGAACAGTCAGGTGTGCATCATGCCACGATCTGCAAGCACCCTTTTC